TTCATAATATACAGCAATGAAAGCTATGTTAACTTTTTTTTTTTTTTAAGATTGATTTATTTATGCTTGCAGAACTGGGATACAGGCCAGAGGTGTGATGGTGAGAGGCTTCACCAGAGACAGAGTGGGGAACAGAACATGCAGATTGACAAAGTCCACTGCTGAGGGGAGCAGCGGACAGGTCAGGAGAGGTTTGCTGCGCCATGTGGGTCAGCTCCTTTGCTGGGGGTTGAACTGGTGCTGTCAGAATGCTTCATAATCTGGTGTTTTAACCCGTTGTGCCATGAGGGAGAGCCCAGCTATGTTAACTTGAAGGGGAAAGATCTTCTACCCTCTTGACCACAGGGAAGCAAATATTTACATTCAGATTTCCAGACAGCCAGATATTTTAGAGAACTGTTTCTGTTCCTGTTGTTCAGATCCACTTCTCTACTAATTGTTTTGTATATGTAAGAGTCAGGAAACAAGAAATGTCTTGTTGGGAAGAATATAAATTTTAAGACTTGAGTGTTCCCTTTTATCAGTAAAGAGCCAATCAAAATGAGGTGGAGTAAATAAAACTGATGGGACTTTCTCACCTTTTTTGCGTTCCATTGTAAGATGACATGTAAAGAACAGGTCCTGGAGCCTTGCCCAAGAGAGGAGAAATCCTAGTCACTTTCAGGAAAATAGTGTCAGAGCCCAGACTGAGGTTGTAAAGTTGGAATCTTTGCATGTGGTTTCCTATCCCATCACATTCCAAGAAAGAATTCTTAGTCATTATGGGGTAGGAGGCAGGAAAATACAGCAATTAGTGTTTTGTAATCTAGGCCAACAATGCCGCTCCCCTGCAAGCTCCATTTGGGCTGGCCAGGCCCAATTCATCCAGACTGAGGTATGGCATAACCAATGGGTTTAATTTAACAGCTGATTCTGTGACAGGTACTAAAATAAGTCTATTGATTATTGGTAGATTCTATTTGTCTGTTCTTTTAAGGTCTACTATGGAGAGATAGCTGGCTGTTTGCCTGACTGATTAGATTAGACCTGGGGATTTGAGTTTATGGGCTCTCTCAGAAACTCGCCTATTTGTTTCCCCATAAAGAATGGCCATCAGCATACCCCCATACCTGTCAAGAGACTTCGGTATTTGTTATTTCTCCTTACAGAATCCATAAGAAGCAAAGGGATGAAAGTAAGCTTCTGGCCTCTATGTAATGTTTTAGGATCAGGCATCTTCCCCTCTTACTCTACGAATGTGGTACATACATTGATTTTTTAACAGTTGAATTATTCTTTTATTCCTGAGATAAATCCCACTTGTCCTGTTATATAATCGTTTTCATAAGCGGTTGGATTCAGTTTTCTATTATTGCTTTCTTTGAGGATTTTGCATCTGTCAATTGCCCAAACTACCCCACCCAAGTCTTCTGAAGTCTGTGATCTTTAACCTCATTGCAGTAATGATTCTATTGCCCCTATGCAGGTGGTATTATTGGTCATTCCTTTCACTGATATTTGTTATTTTTGACTACTTTTTAAAAAAAATTGTATTTATTTATGCATACAGAACTGGGGTACAGGCCAGAGGTGCAGCGGCAGTGAGAGGATTCACTAGAGACAAAGTTGGTGAGCAGAAAAGGCAGCAGATTGCTGAAGTATATTGCTGAGGGGAGCAGTGGGTGGATCAGGAGAGGTCTGCCACTCCATGTGGGTCACCTCCCTGGCATGGAATGGGACTCATAGTGAAATGACTGTGGCTAGCTTTGTACTGCTGCGCTTTAACCCGTGGCACCACTAGGGAGGGCCATGTTGACTGCTTTTTTATCTCTTATTTTCTTCCTTCACCCCACCCCCCATGCCCATTGGAGATTCTTCCTCTGATCATCCTAGACCTTTAATATTTCTCAAGGGTCTTTGGGAAATCTAAATGACCCACTGAAGCTTCAGTGATTCTTTATATCCCAGCAATTCCCAAGTCAAGGTCTTCAGATAAGGCCACTCCTCTGTTTTACCTTTGAATCACCTTCTGAAGAGCTGCCCTGGTATATCTTGTGAGTAGCACAATACCAAACAGGACTCACAGGTTTGTCATGTTTGCCTACCTTTGCAGAGACTGGCACAGCTGTTCCATCTTAAGAGGTATGACTTTGCATTTAATTTCATTTCATTCAAATCCTAGTTGTGCTGGTTTCCTGCTCTCTGTGCTCGAGAGACTTCCAAAGCTTCTCAGCGTCTCCATTGTCTCATTTGTAAAGTGGGAATGATAATACTTGATGGGAGGATTAATGATAATGGGAAATGGTAATGTATGTAAAGTTCTTGACCCATATGAACTTCACAAACTGCAGCTAGTTAGTAATAGTCAAGCACAAAGGGATAATATTCATGGAAGTGGAAAATATTAAAACCAAGTTGTCCATTGTTTCTGCTTACACTGACTCATGTTTCCATCCCTTTTTATGCTGGGTGGGAACCTGAGTAACAGACACCAGATGAAGATTGGCGCTTGTTCTGATAATCCTACAGGGTCCAATCTGGGGCTGTGTCACCATAACACAATCATTTGATTGTTTTAATACTTAAGTCTGTTGTTAGTGACTCAAAACTGGATGTTACTCTGCTGCATACAAATTTGTATTTATCAATTATATTGTATACATTGTATTTTTATACTCAGTGCTTGCCTTAAGGTGGCCATCCACTGATTTTAATTTAAGTACCTTGGTTTCCTATGTCCTCTGCCTTAGTGTTTCACATCCTAGCATTAACATCATAAAACAAAATGAAAATAGATCCATTAAAGTCAGATTAAAAAATTTAAAAAGAGGAAACTTGGGAATCTATAGTTAAGTACTCTTTAACAGTGTTTCAAAATAATGAATAGCTGCTTTAATGTTATGATACACATCAATGAAACATTTATACATCATTTTCACATTTACAAATAGATTCAGTTATTAGTAAATCAAGATCAGAGGACTATTTAAATTTATATTAAGATACTATAGTGAAAACTTCATCTTTTTAAGGTCCAGTTTAAAGAACCAGATGCCGGTTTTATGGATGGCTGCTAATTTCATTTTAAAATAATTTTAAAATCACTTGGACTTTTTCTTTCAAATAACGTTTTTCTTCCAGACCTTTAAAATAAGGGTACCCTAACCTTGGTGCAATTACTATATTGGCAGTTTTTGTAATTTTAGTCTACTCATAGTTGTAAGTGGGAGAAAAGTACATACTTTGTAAGTCGCAAGGCTTGGTGAAGGAATGTCCCTGGCGCCTTGGCCTTTGAAGAGTTAAAGGTTTGGCTTGAGTGGGTAGTCTGCAAAACCACAGGGATCCCGGAGCTCGCGGCGTGCGCGGTAAACCCTGCAGCCGACGCGCCGGGGGAGGTGCCGGGAGCACCGGCCCCACCCGAGAGGGAGGTGCCAGCCGGCTGCCTGGCGAGGCGGCGGGGCAGAGCTGCGGCCGCGCCTCCGCGGTAGTTTGTCCTGATGATGCAAACACTTCCCGCATCCACTTCCCACAGAGTCCGCGGAGCCGGCGGGAGCCGAGCGCGCCTCGGAGCCGCGCGCCATGGGCAACATCCAGAAGAAGCTGACCGGCAGGAGCGACGGAGGCAAGCGGTCCGAGAGGGGTGCCCCGCGGCGGGGTCGGGCTCCGGGCGCCAGCGCGGACGGGCAGACC